TTCAAAGGAAAATGAGAAGCAACTAATTCTTTTTGCAACCAGTCATTGATCGATGAAAGTTCATAGACACCTTCTGGAATATTACGATTAGCTGTTGATGTTTCTTTAGTCTTTGGATCATAAATAATATAGGTAAATTTATTGTTGTTTGTAGTAATATTATTAAGTATATTATATGTTTCTAAGCTTATTAATGCCATTTCATATTCTTTTTTTCCATCAAGTGGAATAGCTGGTAAAAACTTTCTTCTTATTGTTGAAGTATCTCCTCCAATACATATATCCATTTTTATATATGTATTATTATTTTTTAATTCATTATAATGAATAACTTTACTGCTTTACTTCTCTTAGATGAAATTGTATTATTAATCTTTCTTTACTCATATCTATAGCATAACGATCGTCATCCACTATTTCAACTGTCATTTTTGAAAGTGTGTTTGTTCTTAATGGAAAATAACTTTTAAAATTTGGTTCTTCAACAAGACTCATTCCTGAAGGACGAGTAATAGGTAGAAATGTATGCATTACACTAGTTTTCTTACCATTTATATTTTTTCCATCTACGATATTATTTAATATATGCAAACACTTATTTTGAGATGAAACGCTGTAGTGAATAGTTTCTAATCTTATAAATGCCATTTCGTATTTTTTTGTTTTATCAAGTTCAATAATAGGATCAAATTGAATTGTAGTAATATTTGATTTATTGTTATGTACTTCAATATCCATTCTTTATATATTTATAATTAATACTTAAATTATATAAATCATTTTTTAAAAAATATTTTACTCTTCATCTTCACTTTCTAAATCAATATCTTTAATATAAAGTCTTTCTATCTTATACTCTTTTTCATATACAACTGCATCTAATAATTTTACTTGAATAGATTGAATCATCGATCCGATATATACACCTTCAATTGCTAAGCATCCAACAACGTCACATCTTTTTTTAATAAGACTTTCTCCTAAAATATCACCATCATTTTTTTTCCTGAATACTTGATCCATCTTTTTACTTTTATAATCTGTTGGTATTTTTGCATATATAACTGGAGGTGCCTTAGGATTATCATTTCTATACTTTAAAATGTTTAAATTGTGAATATTAAGACTTTTCATACCATCTTTTTTTAACTTTGATTCATTTTCAGTAACTTTATCTCTACAAAATTTTTCAATAGCTTCAATAATTGTGATAAATATATCATTTTCACATACAAAAGGAATTGAATATCCTGTAAGTTTTTTTGTTTTTAAGTCTATATTTTCATTAACTCCATATGAAAACGATTTTGGGGTTTTTACTCTTAAAGCCTCTGAAAAATCTGAATAGTTGTAGCCAATAACTACTTTTTGATATGGAACAGGTTTATTAAATTTAATTATTTCTTTTACGTATAAATTTGCTTCATCAAAATTTTCAATACTCACATAAGACATCTTTTTTATATATACAAGAAAAAATATTTAACTCATTTTAATTTTTTATATTATTATGTTGTGAAATGATATAAATAAATAAACATCTTTATAAAATGAATAAAATGTTTCTGAATATTGAAAATAGTAAAATAAAAAAAATAGGTTTAATATATAATCGGAATTTAGATCATACTCCATCTTTTGTTAATAATAAAAAATATAGAGTATTTGCGCAGCAAGATTTCGTAGTAAAATCAAATTCATATAATAACATTTCTTTAAAGTGTGGAGTTGATATAGATGAAGTGTATGTATCACTTGCACTTGCAGAAAAATATAAGCCATATTTAAACTTACTAAATTCAGTAGTAGCAGAGTCTACTAATGATATTATAATAACTTTATATAATAATGATAAAAAAGATATAAATATTAAAAAAGGAGATTTTTTATTATATATTTTATCTTATAATGGAATTATAAATATAATCAGTTATATATCTAACGAAGTATTGATCCCGAAGGGATCTAATTCTTATGGATCCAAAGGATCTAGCGGAGCAAAGGTACTTTCAGGACCTAAAAATATAAAACCAAAAGAAGAACCACAAAGTGATAAAGACTCTGTTAAATCTATATTATCAAGTATAGGAGAATTAATTACTGATAAAATATGTGATAAAGATAATACTAGATCGCAAAGTGATCCTGGCTACTATAAATCTGACAAAGATAAAGACGGTGATATACCACAAAGTGATACTGAATACTCTAAATCTATATTTAATTTTGGTAAATAAAAGAGATTTATTAAAATAACTTAAAATGAATGTTTTAATAATAGAGACTACAAAGAATGTAAAAATGAAGAATGTAAAAGTATTTATCCAGATCTTAACCAGTTTAGAGTTGATCCAACTGCACCACCACTATCTGATCAGCGATATAGATTAGATAAGATAAGTGAAATTCAAGGTAAAATAGAATGTGAAAGAAAAATAAGAGCTATGTTAAGTAAAAAATATCATAGAGCTGTTAGAATAATTTCAGTTGTTGATAATTCATTACTTGCAACTACTATGACACTTGGAGCTGTTGGTATCGGTTTTTTAACAACAATAGTTGGAACACCAGTAGCTATTGCATGTGAAGGTACAGCATTAGGTATTGGTTTAATATCACTAATAGGATCTCAAGTAATTAAAAAATTAAATATAAAATCAGAAAAGCATGAAAAGATTAAAGTATTAGCTGATGCAAAATTAAATACTATAAGCGACCATATTTCTAAAGCTTTAAAAGATGGTAATATCGATGATGTAGAATTTACAATGATACTTTCAGAATATGAAAAGTTTCAAGCTATGATCGAACAAATTAGAACAAAATCTAAAAATGAAATTGATGAACAAACTAAACAATCAATATTCAACCAAGGCAAAGAGAAAGCTATGAAAGAGGCGATGGAATTGTTAGAGATTAGGTTTAATAAAAATCAAAATATTAACAAAATAAACATTAATTAAAACATATATTATGTTCAAGTAAAACATATATTATGTTCAAGTAAAACATATATTATGTTCAAGTAAAACATATATTATGTTCAAGTAAAACATATATTATGTTCAAGTAAAACATATATTATGTTCAAGTAAAACATATATTATGTTCAAGTAAAACATATATTATGTTCAAGTAAAACATATATTATGTTCAAGTAAAACATGATAATACGTTAAAATAAAATGTTATGTATATAAAAATGTCGTTTTTAGATATTGTAGATCCGAAAAAAAGAAATGAAGCTTTTAAAGAGCTCGAAAGATTGAAAAAAGGTATTTATCAAGATGCAGTAAATGAAAAGCTTGAATTTAATGACTTACAGTATGACTTGGGTAATTTATACAAACCTATTATCGATAGTCAATCTGGAATAAAAGAAAACTTAGCTAAATTAGAAAATAAAGCTGATTTAGCTATCACTCTATCAAATTATCCAGCAATAATGGATGTACCTGAAAGTAAAATAGTTTCATTAGGAACTATAGCAACAAATTATTTAAAGTCAGCCTATAGTAATAAAAAGGAAGCAGATTTTACATTTGGTATACACTCAAAAGATGGAAAATTGTATATAGGAAAAAAACCAATATTAATCAGTAATAATGATATAACTATTGATGATAAAAAATATATTGGAACTAATGGTCTTTGGGAATTGTTAACAAAATCTAGTCCTGATAAAGATATATACAATGAAGATGATCTTGAAAATTATAAAAATATATTAAAAGAAACAGATGCTATTTCTTCTAGTAAATATCCAGGAAAGCCTAGATCATCTAGAAGTGAAAAATATAATAAAATAATAAAACCCATTTGGGTAGAGATCGCTAGAAAATCTGGAAAAGGAGTTATCATTCTTCCTAGCGATCCAAATGAATTAGTTAAAATGCTTGCATTACGAATAGCTGCATTTGAAGCAGGTAATACTGGGGCTAGAAATGAGGCTGTTGCTATTTGTGATGAATTATTACGTCAAGGAGAAATTGATTCTGAAAATTATAAATCATTACAGAACATTTTTAGATTAAATAAAAATAGTAAGTAAATAAAAATGTTAATTGTTGAGAAAAAAGTTTATAAAAAGCATTTTGTAAGTGGAAGTGGTATATTCGATGATGTTAATAATCTATATAATCGAGCAAAATCTTCTGATTTTTTTAGAGCATTATCTGGTATGAAGACAATGTTAACTAACCGTTTAAGAGATAAATAAGGGATCTGCATTTATGAGAAATAAATTAATTCTTATGAATCTCGAAGAGATTTAAATAAAAATAGTAAGTATATAAAAAAATGTTAATTGTTGAGAAAAAAGTTTATAAAAAGCATTTTATTGATGGAAGTGGCATATTTAGTCCTTTTAGAGGCTTACTGAATAATAGATCGATTAATAATGCACTTAAAATATCACGTAATTTAGCTAATAAAGCCATTGCTAGTGATTTAGGAAAAACTGCAATAGATGCTGCAAAAGTAGCAGGTAAAGAACTAGCTACAAATGCAATCTCTACAGCTAAAGATATTATATTAGAAAAAGGAAACAAGTTGATTAAAAAATCAAAGCTTAAACCTGAAAGTAAACAAGTACTTGCAAATTTAGTTGAATCTGGAGCTAATGATCTTGCTCAAAATATATCTAATGAAGTAACAACAAATATAAATAAATTGATGATGGGATCTGCAATACCATCTAAAAGATCTAAAAGAGGATTAAATAAAAAATTATGCCATTCAAACGCTATTAAACTGGAGGAATTAGTAAAGATGGGAAGAGGATTAAAAATGGCATAATTTTCAGTAACATTTTTTATAAAATTAATGTAAAATGAATTAAAAAAAAATTTATGCATATAAAAATGGCAGATTATAAAAGTTTAGATTTAACAGAAGATCCCTTTATTGATGATAGTATTTTCAGATATCAATTTGGAGAATATACTCCACAAAATGGTACAAATATAAATGATACCGTACCAATAAAAATTAATATTGAGATGACAGATTCATTTTTTAAACCATCTAAAGCTTATATACAAGTTGAAGGAAGACTTCAAGCAGCAAGTGGTGCATCCTATGCTGATACAGATGTAGTTACACTTACACACAATGGAATTATGCATTTATTTGATAGAATGGCATATGATTTATCAGGACAGAATATAGAAACAGTAAATAATTTAGGACAAGCAACTACAATGTTAGGAATGCTCAAATATTCAAATGACTTCCAATTAGCAGAAGGATTAAATCAACTATGGTACAAAGATACTGTAACAGATGCAAATTTGACTACTAATGTTGGATTTACAGTAAGACAAGCATACATTATAAAAAAACCTACTACAAAAGGTACATTTTCGTTTTGTATTCCTTTAAATCATATTTTCGGATTCTGTGAGGATTATACTAAAGTAATTTACGGATTTAAACATACATTAACTTTACAAAGAAAAAATGACAATGATGCTATTTTTCGATCTGCTGCAGCAGCTATAGGAAAAGTAAATCTTACAAAAATATCATTATGGATGCCTTATGTCACACCATCAGATAAAGGAAGACATACTCTTAATACTGTTATTAAAGAAAAAGTAACAATTCCAGTAGCTTTTTATTCTAGATCGTGTGAAACTACAACTCCTCAACAAACATCTAAAATGACTTGGAAACTTGGTGTTAAAAGTGATGAAAAACCTAGATATATTATCGTTGGATTCCAAACAAATAAAGATAATGATCAAACACAAAATGCTTCAATATTCGATCATTGTAACTTAACAAATATGCAAGTTGTGATTAATAATACAAGATATCCTGAAGCTGATTATGAACTATCATTTTCAAATCAACAAGTTTCAAGAGCTTATACAGATGTATCTAACTTTAAAGAAAATTTTTGTGGAATAGATAAAATCATTTCAAATTGTAACATAACACCTTCAGACTATAGAGATTTATATCCACTTATGGTTTTCGATTTAAGACATCAATCAGAAAGATTAAAAGCTTCATCATCAGATATTCTGATTATAGCAAACTTTAGTGAAAATATTCCAGATGGAACTGAAGCATTTGCTGTTATTGTGTCAGAAAGATTAGGTAGACTTAAGTCTAATGGAGATAGATTTAACTTTGAATATTAGAAAAAGAAAATAGTAAAATGTGCAATAAAAATATTTTTTTGAAATGAGTTAAATAATTTTCTTGTATATATAAAAATGTGTGACAAAATAAAATATACAAAAAAGTATTTATTAAATTTACTAAAAGAAAATAATATACAACAAACATCTAAAGATCACATTGCATTAGTTATGATTGCTATGGATAATAATTTAATTGATAAAGAATTTATACAATCAAATATCATTACTAAAAAACAAAAAAAACCAAAGATTGTAAGAGTTAAAAGAGTTGAAAAAGAAAAAGTAATAAAAGAGAAAAAAAAAGCTGGAAGACCTAGAATTAATCCTATAAAAGAAAAAAAAGAAAGAGATCCTAAATATGACTGGCTTGCGAAAATTAGAACAAATCCAACAACTATAAAACTTACTAATATAGAAACTGGTGAAGTTAAAATATACAATTCATTGTATGATTATATTCGTAAAGAAAAGCATTGTAAATCATATGCTGAGAAATATAATGGAAAAGTTAAAAATGGAGTAAAAATAGAAATAATAAAATCAGAAAATGAAAAATAAATTATTTTTATAGATATAAGTCTATAAAAATATATAATAAGAAATGTTTATTTGCTATCAATTAATTTCTTAACAAGAAATATAAAAAATGAAAACGATATAAATAATTTTTTCTTGTATATATAAAAAATATAATAAGAAATGATTTTCACTGTCAATTAATTTCTTAACAAGAAATATAAAAAATTGAAAATGATATAAATAATTTTCTTGTATATAAAAAATGGCAAATATTACTAATAGATTTTTTAATAAAATCAATTCATTAACAAATTGGGTTATGTCATATATTCCTAATCCTATTAAAGAAATAGCTACTACGCAAATTAATACATTAAAATCTACAGTTTCTAATTTGTATGAAAAAGTAGGATTTAAAAGTGAACATGTTATAAAACCTATAGAATCTAAAAAAGAAAAGAAGAGAGAAAAGAAGAGAGAAAAGAAACCAATAGAGTTTAAATTAACACAATCAGCTGTTAGAAATGTGACAACACAATTTTCAGCTGAAGGAGTTGAAGGAGCTGATGCTTTATCTTATATGAAATCAGTTAAAAATAATGTATTAAATATTTTAAATAGTAATAAAGAATCAAAAATCTATATTGTTCTTTCATGCGAAATGGAGCGTACTGATCTTAAAACAGGAGAAACTATAACAACTATTGCATCATTTTCAACAAAAGCAGAAGTTGTATTAGAGTCAACAGATTTAAATGACTTTTATGAAAGAGCTGAACAAAAAATTTTAGAATCCTTGTCAGCATTTCAACAACTAGGATCAAATTGGAGATTTGTATCAGTTAAAAAGATGGACATTAATATCATTGAATATAAGCCTATTAAAGGTAAATCTTACATTCCTCTTCCTAAAGAATTGGCAGCTAAAAAAGCAATTATTAATATGAAGAATGAAGACAACGAATGCTTTAAGTGGTGTGTTGCTAGATTTTTTAATCCTAAAGACAATCATCCTGAAAGAGTAGATAAAGATTTAAAAGAACAAGCTGAGAAATTAAATTGGGAAAAAATAAAATTCCCAGTGTCACTACAACAGATTACTCAATTTGAGAAAAATAATCAAGACATAAGTGTTAATGTATTTGGTTATGAAAATTCTGTTTATCCTTTAAGAATATCAAATGAGAAAAATAGACAACATCAAATAGATTTATTACTCATTTCAAATGATGAAACCAATCACTATTGTTTAATAAAAAGTATAAGTAGATTACTTTCATCACAAATATCTAAAAATGAACATGAAATGTTTTATTGTAGAAATTGCTTGTTAGGATTTTGTACTGAAGAATCTTTATCAAAGCATAAATTGTATTGTGATACTCATGATTCAGTACGAATTGAGCTTCCAAAACCAAATACAATGATAAAGTTTAATCATTTTAAAAAATCTATGAGAGTGCCCTTTGTAGTCTATGCTGACTTTGAAAGTTTTATTAAACCTATCAACACTTGTGCACATAACCCATATGAATCTTATACAAAGCAGTACCAAAAGCATACACCTAGTTCATTTTGTTACTATATTAAATGCTTTGATGAAAAAATATATCAAAGTAAACTAGTTACATTCACTGCAAGTAATGAAGATGAAGATGTAGCACAAAAGTTTGTTAATATGCTAGAAGAAGATGTAAAAAAGATTTACAACGATTATTTAAAATTTCCAAAAAAGATGATATTTACTATGAAAGACAAAAATAATTTTGATAATGCAAAAATATGTCACATTTGTGAAAAAGATCTTAATGAAGATAAAGTAAAAGATCATTGTCATATAACTGGAAAATATAGAGGTGCTGCACATAATGAGTGTAATTTACAATTTAAAAATCCAAAATTCATTCCAGTACTATTTCACAATTTATCTGGTTATAACTCTCACTTGTTCATAAAGAAATTGTCAGAAGGAGGAAAAATAAATTGTATACCCAACAATGAAGAAAAATATATCAGCTTTTCTAAAGAACTTAAAGTAAATGAATTTATGAATAGAGAAGGTAAATAAGTTGAAGTTAAACTGTATCTACGTTTTCTAGATAGTTTTAAATTTATGGCTGCTAGTTTAGATAGTTTAACTAAAAATTTGTCAAAAGATCAATGTAAAAATATTAGTAGATACTATTCTGGAAATGAACTCAATTTATTGTTAAGAAAAGGTGTTTATCCTTATGAATGGGTTGACTCTATTGATAAATTAAATGAAACACAATTACCACCAAAAGAATCATTTTATTCAAGATTAAATGATGAAGGAATAAGTGATGAAGATTATTTACATGCTCAAAATGTATGGAAAGAGTTTAATTGTGAAACATTTAAAGATTATCATAATTTATATAACAAATCTGATGTATTATTACTAGCTGATGTCTTTGAAAATTTTAGAGATGTCTGTTTTAACAATTACAAATTAGATCCTGCTTGGTACTATACAGCACCTGGATTAGCTTGGGATGCTGCGTTGAAAATAACAGAAGTAAAATTAGAATTATTAAGTGATTATGACATGATTTTAATGATAAAAGAAGAAATAAAAGGTGGAATTAGTATAGTTTCTAAAAGATTAGGAACTGCTAACAATAAATACATGGAAAATTATGATGAAAGTAAAGAATCTACTTACATACAGTATCTAGATGCAAATAATTTATATGGGTGGGCAATGAGTAAGCCCCTTCCAACACATGGATTTAAATGGATGAATGAAGAAGAATTAAAAAATTGGAAATCTACTTCTTGCATATTAGAAGTAGATTTAGAATATCCTGAACATTTACATGATGTTCATAATGATTATCCACTTGCTCCTGAAAGATTAAAAATAGACAGAGTTGAAAAATTAATACCTAATTTAAATCATAAGAAAAATTATATCATTCACTATGAAAACTTAAAACTGTATGAAAGACTAGGAATGCAAATAACAAAAATTCATAGAGGAATAAAGTTTGAAGAAAATGCATGGTTAAGTAAATACATTAAACTCAATACAGATCTAAGAACAAAAGCAACAAATGACTTTGAAAAGGACTTTTTCAAACTTATGAACAACTCAGTATTTGGAAAGACAATGGAGAACATTGAAAACAGAGTTGATGTGAGATTAGTTTCTAAAAGAAAAGAAGCTATTAAATTAGCATCAAAACCAAACTATAAAAGTAGAACGATATTTGATGAAAATTTAATAGCTATTCATATGAAAAGAACAAAGCTTGTATATAATAAACCCATTTACTTGGGTATGTGTATTTTAGATTTGAGTAAAACACTAATGTATGAATTTCATTATGATTATATAAAAAATAAATATGGAGATAAAGCTAAACTATTATATACAGATACAGATTCATTAATCTATAAAATAAAAACAAAAGACTTTTATGCAGATATTGCAAATGATATTGAAAGTAAATTTGATACAAGTGAATTTAATAAAGATCATCCAGCTGTTCAAAATGGATTTAAAGTAGGTGTAAATAAGAAAGTAATAGGAATGTTTAAAGATGAGTCAGCAGGAAAACAAATTACAGAATTTATTGGACTCAGATCAAAGTTGTATTCTTACAAAATAGATGAAGAAGATAAAAAGAGATGTAAGGGAGTAAAGAGAAATGTAGTAAAAAATTATATTACACATGAGGATTATAAAGACTGCCTTATAAATAAGAAAGATCAAATGAGAAAAATGAATGTCATAAGATCTCATTGTCATGATGTTTATACTGAAGAAATAAACAAAATAGCATTGAGTGCAGAAGATGATAAAAGAGTAATTCAAGAAGATGGTATTCACACATTAGCATATGGACATTATAAACTTAAATAAGCAGGCAGGCAACACACAGGTAAGTTATTTTTTTTATATCTAAAGAGATCTAAAAAAATCTAATAAAGTAATAAAAATGGACAAACATATCAATGTTGAAGGAATTATATTGCCAAATGTACCCTTAACAAACTTTCAATTAATAAAAGCAGCAAAAAAATTAAAAATTAAAAATTTTAGAGGTGTATTTGTAAGAGATGAATTACCTAAAAATACACAAAACAAAGAATGTGGAATATTAAATACTGGAGATTCAAGTACGAATGGATTTCATTGGATTTGTTGGTATAAAGACGGAGATATGAAACTAAGTTTTGACTCTTATGGATTACCACCTCCAGTTGAACTTGTTCAATATTTACACAGTCCTGTTTACTACAATACTGAACAAGTTCAGTTTGGAAATACTTCCTATTGCGGGCACTTGTGTCTCTATGTCTTGAAAAAACTAAATGATGGAAAAGAATTTCAAAACATCATCAATTCACTTTGGTGAATCTTAGATATATTATAAAAAATAAATTTAACTCATGGGTTAATAATAAAGAATTGAATAATCTCTGAAAGAGATCAATGCTTCGCTAAATCT